TATGGTCATATATATTAAAAGAAACAATATGATCTACTTCCTTAAATTAGAAAAATATTAACTCAAACATTTCATAACCCAGTATTTTATTATAGCCATACCAAAAGAATCAGAATTATGCAAATTACGTAAAAGTTTTAAATACGACCACTAAATCAGTGTTGGTGTCCAAGTAGCAAAAGAAAACATACCCTACTTAAGGAAAGCTATGACAGAATAGTGAATTTCTTTCCCAATGTAGATGAATTGTTTTTCTGTACCTCAGCTACATGAAGAGGTGTGGAGTGGCAGTTATCAAGACGTACTCCCTGGAAATAAGTTGCAGTTATTTCAGTGTATTTTTTCATGTGTGCCCAGAGATAAGGACAGTCCTCTGGTTTATTCCCATAGCGTAATTTAACACTGTCTCCCCAGCAAATAAGTTCTCTCCTCAGATAAACATCTGAACCTGTTAAGAAAGGAGTGTGCTTTCAATGGTTCAAGAAATAAAATGAAAAAAAAATTACTTCAAGGAAACACTGCTATTTTAAAATAACATTGACTATTTCCACCACAAACCACATATTGGTTAAAATTATATCTAAAATCATTTGGGATAAAATTTTAAAAATTAATATTTATTTATATCTTATCTATTTCGTTAAAATTCTAGCTTATAGTCTCTTCTAAAAATATGTGCTTAATGTTAACAATTCAAGTTGCTTCTTAAAGGAAAACAGTAATAGTAATAGTAATATCATTGGCCCTTTAAAACTACGATTCTACCAAAAACATTTAAAGATCCATCCCCACCTTGCTTCCCATTTTTGGCAATAGGTTACATTAAATTCATGACATAAAGCAGATTATTATTATTTTTTTTCATTTAGAATGGCTAAAAAGGAGAGAACAGAGATACTTAAACCCAAAGTTAGAGTCATTTTCTAAAAATGAGATTTTTGAATTAAATGTAATATTATTAAAACAGACTTCTAGTTTTGAAATGCTGAAAAATAAATAATGGGTTCCCTACGAATTCTTCCTGGAAACAAAATAGTGTAGAAAAATAATATTAGGAATAAGTGAGAAGGAACCTAAAAACAACTGGCTTCTAGTTTAACTCTAATTAAATATCTTAATACTCTTCTGGCTAATGAATGAAAATCTCTCTTTTGGCAATATAATTTTAACAGCAATGGTTTCAAATGTCTTTAAAAACCCAACAGAATAAATTTTTGCACAAATAAAATCTAAAGCAGAGCCACACTATAAGAAAAATATATGAAAGCTGTTCTTTTTGAGGAAATACGGGGTAGGAAGGAAAGGAGGGAGAAGAAAATGAATACCATCCTTTCTGTCAATCCCTTCTCTCTCAAACTGTATACACCTCTGGTACCTCTGTTATGAAATAGTTTAAAAAGCACTAGCCAACTGGGTGAAAAAATCAATAAAACTGTTTATATTTTGAGCTTTCCATGAACTTATTTCCCT